CAAACGGGCGAATTTTCCTTCACTAAATATTTCTAACCGAATGCACCCGATTTGGAGATGCCTGTCTACTCGTTTCGCGAAATGCAAGTCTCCCACTTTACGCAGACACACTTGTAATGTTTATGTTCTGAGAATGAAGCAATGTCGAAATATGAAATTTACAAGAGAATAGTGGATTTTATCAAACTTCTAGGAGTTAAGGCTCAACGAAAAGAGCAACAGGAAGACAATTTCAGGTATGTCACCAAGTTTTGGCCGTTTAAATTAAAAACTGAAGAAATAGCAAGGAATTTTAGAGTCGGAGTATCTCCTGGAACAGACAGTAAATAATGTAAGCTTATACAGTGTAAGTTATATTTCAAATACACAGTGAAGGTAATTTTTCCTCTCAACCAATCATACCATGGAACTTATAATACATATTATAAGGCCCATGATCATACGAACGAGAAAGCCTACATGTATATATGACTGAGTCTGTATAAAATTTACCTCTGTTTTGTCTAGAGTACATTATTTATAAAATTTTGTTTTACAATCATATGAATGGTCGAAGTCAAGACAATATTATTATTATTACAGCATATTTATAGTGCGCCCTTTCCATATAACATGCTCAGGGGTACTTTACAAAGTGACAATGTAATCATAAATAAACAACAAGATTATGGACATGTTAACGATTGTATACAGAGTCAGTTAAAAGCCTGATTAAATAAATGTGTTTTAAGTTGTTTTTTTAAAAGAATATAGAGATGTACAACATCTTAAACTAAATGGTAGATTATTCCATAAAACAGGTGCTTGATAACTAAAAGACCGCTGACCATAAGAGACTAATTGAACAGTTTTGGGCTTTAAAAGTAGTTTATCTGATGTACGTAATGTTCGGCCAGGTGTATAAAGTTCTAAAAGATCTGAGAGGTAAACAGGAGCTAAATTATTTTAACATTTAAAAGTAAGTAATAAAATCTTAAAATAAATTCGATATTTAACAGGAAACCAGTGTAAACAGGAGTTATGTGGTCACATTTCTCAGTTAAAGTAACAAGTCTAGCTGCAGTATTCTGTACTTTTTGTAATTTATCTATAAGCTTAAAAGGTAAACCAACTAAAAGTGAATTAAATTTATCTAATTGAGAAGTGACCAGAGAATTAACAAGTGACTTAGTGGCCTCTACAGTTACAAATTTACGTATTTTACCTATATTTCTGATATTAAAATAGCACAATTTATCAAAGATTTCGCCAATATTACAAGCAGAATAAGATGAAAATATATCACAATTACCAATTACAACAGGGGGGTTATCATGTGCAAATTTACTTAATTGATGCCTTGAGCCTAATAACAAATATTCGGTTTTATCATCATTCAATTTTAGAAAGTTCTTTGACATCCGTTTTCTAATTTCACTTATACAGTTCTCAAGTTGCAATTTTGATAAATTGAAAGAAGATGGAATATTAGGTGTAAATGAAATATATAACTGAGTATCATCGCCATACAAATGAAAGCTGAGACCATTTTTCTGACAATATCACGTAAAGGTGACGTATAAAGGGTAAATAAAGAACAGAACCTTGGGGAACCCCAGATGAAAAAACAGATTCAGACGACGATTTACAATTAACTAAAATACACTGTTTTCTACCCACAATATACATGTAGCTTTCTAAAAGATTTAATGCAGAGCCACAAATACCAAATTTAAATTGAAGTCTACGTAGAAGAATGGAAGGGTCCACAGTGTCGAAAGCAGCAGATAAATCTAATAAAATTAACAATGACATTTTCTATTATCAATTTCCATTAAAATATCATTTGAAACCTGGGTTAAAGTTGTTTCGATACTGTGAAATTGTTTATAAGCACTTTGAAATGGTTCATACAAACAGCTATCATCTAGATGGGCCTTTATCTGAGAAGCAATACATTTCTCCAATATTTTAGAAATAAAACTTAAGTTAGAGACAGATCTGTAATTTTTAAAAACATTAGGATCCAGTGTAGACTTTTTAATTAAAGGGGTAACATAAGCTTGTTTGAAAATGTTGGGAACAGTAGAGGATGATATACAAGAATTAATAATATTGGTAACAAGCGGTTGCCATGCAAGATACGCCCCCATTTTGCAAGAGATGGACAGAGAACAGGCTCAAAAAAAGAAGTGATTTTTCATACAATCAAGGGCCATAATTCAGGAAGTTACGATCCAATATGCACGAATATGGAAAGGAACCAAGATCTTTGGGTTATAAATATGCATTTCAAGTCCCTACAGGGTCCACAACATTGATATACCATATTTTTACGCTATTTGACTACGAGGCGTGGATATTTTGTCTGTCATTTTGGGTATAACAGTGATATATTCAAACGTTTTTTTAAATTGGATAAGAATTATGACCGCTATTATAGGGTCCACAAGCTAAAAACACAATTTTCTGTACAATCAGGGGCCATAATTCAGGAAGTTACGGTCCGATATGCGTGGATATCGACCGGAACTGAGATCTTTGGGTTATAAACTTACATTTCAAGTTTCAACAAAATCGGATAAAAATTGTGACCTCTACAGGATCCACAACCTTGATATACCATATTTTTACATTCTTCGCGTACAAACGGCTGCCATTTTCTCCGGAAATTTTGGTCCGATTTTCACGAAATTCGAACTCAACCTTCCTTACGGTGTATTAATGATAAGCTATAAAAGGCGATTTTTCGGACAATCAGGGGCCATAATTCAGGAAGTTACGCTCCGATGGGCGCAAATTTCGAAAGGAACCAAGATCTTTGGGTTATAAACATGCATGTCAAGTTTCATAATCCATAAAGTTTTGATCCGATACATGCCAGTATCGAAAGCAGCCGAGATCTTTTGGGGATAAACCTATATTTCAAGTTTCGTCAAAATTGAATAAGAATTGTGACCTGTGGAGAGTCCACAAACAATTGTGGACGGACGTCTGGATGGACAGGGGCGACGACATTACGTCCACATGAAAATGTGGGCGTATAAAAACTGGAATAACTTCGTCAAGACAGTCCTTAAGAACAGGAGTTGGAACAGGATCTAATGAACAAGATTTAGGATCAGACGATTTAATTAGCTTTATTTGAAAGAAATCAGAGAATATATTCGCAAGTTCAGTGTCACTATCATTGTCCGGGAGAATAGTCCGCTCAGCATTATGATTCAAAAGGGAATTCACAACTTTATACAGGTCTTTTTGTCCGTTTTCGCCTTTTTCTATTTTATCAGAGTAAAATTTAAAGATACATTATGGGAGATAAGATAAAGAGATGGCAGTTCTCGCTATAATAGTTAAAAACTAGATAGTGTAAAGGTAATTTGCTGAAAATTTCAGTCAAATTGATCCACTATGAGCCGAGAAAGAAGCGGGTGAAATTTTTGCATAGTCTCGGTCATCATTACTAAAATCATTAATATAAACAGCATAGTCTCGATTATCCACTTTTTCTGATTTAATTATCAACGGCCGTTAGCGGCATATAGGAATCTAATCCAGTCAACATCGAGAGTTTATTATGGTCTGGATAAGTTAATTAAAGATACATTATGGGAGATTCGATAACGAGTTGGCATTTCTCACTATAATAATTAAAAACTAGATAACGAAAAGGCAATTTGCTGAAAATTTCATTCAAATTGATCCACTATGAACCGAGAACTAAGCGAATCAAATTTCTGCCTAGACTCGGTCATCATTACTAAAGTCAATACGATAAACAGCATAGTCTCGATTATCCATTTAATCGTTTAATGGAGAAGGAAAGTTATGCAGTAAATCGGCTCACAATCCACTTAAGATCGAAGGCTAGCGATGCCATCTAGAGTTGATTATGGTCTGGATAGGTTAATTAATGTATAATTGATAATTTAGATAACATTTCAGGCCTAAAGAAAGACTTGTAATATGCAGATTTTGCTCTTGCATAATGCATGTTTAATGTCTAATTGATACTTTAGATAACATTTCAGGCCTAAAGAAAGACTTGTAATAAGCAGATTTTGCTCTTGCATAATGCATGTTTAATTTTAGCGTCTTCAATTAATTTAGTCACATTGTTTTTTAAATATTTTTAAATCTGTTTATGGACATGTAAATTTGTTTTCTGCCACAGATGTTCAGTCTTATTATGGTCCCTTTTGGCTTCTAAAATAGAATCATTAAACCACTGTGTATTGGGACGAATAGTAGATGTTTTCGTTTGAAGAGGCACAAGTGAGTCCAAAATTTCAGCAAGCTTAGAGTGATATTGGGTTACCTTCTCTTTTATATCTTGAATACCAATGTCATTGAAATTTGAGTTCACTATTTCCGCTTTAAATTTATTAGTGTCAAGTGATTTAAACCTTTGATATGTTACAGTCTTTCTTGTTGGTTGTGGTTTCTGGATCTTATTCTTAAGGTTAAAACTTGAGGAGAAATGATTAGATATTAATTTGTCCGAGACAGAGAGATTATACAGCTGAAGGACAACACATTTCTCTTCATTAACATCAGGCTCAAAATGCTATCTAACCAAGGTCTTTTTGCTCTAATCATCTAAATTATTACCATCTAATGACCACTTTTAAATCCTTCTTTTTGTTACATTTAAAAATTTACTTTAACAAACCTCTTATCGTTAACGGTATCAAGCACAAATCACATTTACCATTTAGTAAAATGAAAGAACTATACAGATACATTTATAATGTACATTGTGAAGTCTAATTCAGTAATGGTGTTATGTTTATCATGCATATTGATATAGCCATGTAACATGACATCTGTGACATCACCAAGCAATCTCCTCAGATATTAATGTAATTCAAAAGTGTTCGTAAGCGTGACATGAAAATGGACATATTTATGTTTGAATTAATCTTAGAGTGTATACAATCACAACGACTTCAAGCACATTCCAATTTTTTTTATGTGTTTTTCTGATGTACTACTACTGACAAATTTAATTAAATTCAAACCTGCTTTTGGATAGGACAGAACCCAAACATCATCTTCTCGTATCTGAAAATGATGAATCTTATCAACATGGTCAACAATGTATTCATCATAAATATAACCTCTATACTTGTACAGATATTTACGTCTACCAAGCAATGGTTCTGCTATCTTTTCAATACCGCGTGCTCTTCTTGTCAATTTTTTATACTCCTTTGCACCAACAACTGTCAATAAAACAGCCCCAATTGCACATGAAAAATATGTTGCATAAGTCAAAATTCTTTTCCTATTCTGATCAGTCGTTTGCTGGTGAGATACAAATCTTTTGATATTGACAATAGGAAGATTTGGTAATAACTTTCCAGTTTTATGGTCTAGTAGTAGTAGTGAAGTATTTTGTAGCAGACGACGTTTGATGAAACATTGATTTTTATGTGTCAAATATGTATCATGAATTAAAACATTTCCTTGGTGGAAAGAAGACAGTCGTCGACCAACTGATAGATAACATTTTGATGTCAAAAATCTATTTATAAAACAACCCGGTGATAAGTTTAAAGCTGAAAATAATTTTGTCCGACACATGTCCTCTGTTTACTAGATTCTTTCTTTCTTGACTCCCCGACTGGAGAGTTTTCCGTCACTTTCGATAAAATTCGAGAACGGCGAAAAAAGATAAACGATTTGACGATGTTTCATAATTAGTGGGTACTATCTATGTAAAATAATATAAATTTTGTATTATTTTGCATGAATTTATTATCTGAAAATAAATGTAAAACTTTAACACATGGATATCAAAATAAATGGTTTGTGTTGTCCGTTAAAATGTCCTGGAGTAACTTTTAATATGCTTTAAAAAAAAAAAAAAGAAATTGGCGGGAAAGTAGTGTTTACTATCTTGCGGGAATCGTTGATCTCTGAAGAAAGAAACTGAAAGGTGTTATCTATGACTCCAGGTCTAGTCAAGTTGTTTTGACTAACAAATCTGCAGAGTTTATCTTCTTATTGACTTGTTCTGCTTCCGTTAATTTACTGTAGATACTTACAACTTTATAATAATCTTAACTGGCTGTTGTTATAACGTAAGTCTAACTATAATAATAGAGTAAGAGTAGAGTGGTTCATGCACAGAACAAAAATCAAATAAACGAGCTCAATTTGGGGCTTATTTTAACAAATATGATAAGACTTACCATTAAAATCATCATTCATGAACAATTAAACTATTGCTAAGTTGGATATTTGTGTGATTTAAAGGCTCAATACCACTCTTGTTGTAACTGAATAATATGTCCCAATCTTTATTCTGGTCAACAAATTGTACTATTTTAGAATATTTCAATTAATTGATGATACAAATTTCATCTTAACACACCTTATTTAAAAATTTTGAAAAATTCAACATAATGGTAGGGGTTTCAGGTCATGTGACTTTAGCGTGAAATCGGACAGCCAACAGCTGAAATATAGCCCACTTCAATCTACGATTCTGAATTACTATTTTATGTAAATGTATTACTAGAAATTGTATTGTAATAGTTTAATATCAGTCTCAATATCTGCAAAGATTCAGGCTGAAAAATTATCGAAATGTAACCGAAATTACCAGTTGTTTACACGAGACGCTCGCGGGAAAATACCGCTCTGACGTCACACGGCCGGAGATTTTCCATTGCTACGACTCACTTCATTGGTGAATTCGCTCCTTAGTTTCCGGTGGAATTTGATATAGAACCAATCAAACGATAGATAAAATTTTTGTGCTTATTATGGTCTTTGATACCTTGAGATCGGACAATTACAGCCGTAGAAAACAGGATTTATCTGTTTTGATGACTGAAATTTGCTTAATTTCGACTAAATATAAAATACTTGTGATATCATCCAGATTATAAATATTTGACATATTATCATTCAAATTATTACGGTTTTAATAAATCTTAGCTGACAATAACGTGTAGATTTCAGTTTTAAAATTGGTACTAACTATTCTGAAGGGAAAATACCGCTTATGACGTCACTCAAATATGACGGAAAAGCACTTATTTTGGTGCCATTCCACGCATTAACTGGTATAGAGCATTTTGATTACATTATTGACGTCGATCTCGGATTTTAAAATTCCATAACTTTGGATCTAATTAGAATATTTTGATGAAATAATTACGTCTCGAGCTATATTTGTCAAGTGTAGCCATAATCGGGTGAAAAAATCAAATTCTAAGCCAATCAGAAACCATAAAAGCAAAGATCGTCATAGGTCAAGGGTCAATAGCCATAAATAGACCAGTGAATACCTTTTATGAGACGGAACACGTTGGATTGTTTACATTTGTCTAAGAGAATTTCTCTGCAAATATGCCGGGATTACTGGATAATACCACCTGTTAAATGTTGCATTGACATGGTAAAGACGACTTACCCCTAATCTGTGGCATAAATATGGCCAATAATTGGGAAATAGCACCAATGATTGAATGAATCTTTTATTTTCTGGAAACAAGTATTTCTTCAAAACTATTTCAGTGAATGAAACAATATCCAAGAGAAATATATACTTAATACAGATGAAAATGATTTTGGCATGCTTGAAATACTAGTTCGGTCTTATAATTATATATAATGATAAGAAAAAACAAAAATAATAATACCATGTGATCTGATCGATACAATTAATAATAAATCACCTTCATTAATTTTACTAGTTTTATAAAAAAGAAAACAATAGACTTATTATAAGAGTATAGAGAGAGAGAAATGGGGTTTAACTTCCACTCGACACAAACTAGGTAATTTTGGTTCAATTTTATTCCAATAATTCGCTTGCGTGTAGTGGTCTTTAGCAGTGGGAGGAAACCGGAGGACCCGGAGAAAACCCATGAGGTTGGATAGGCAACCCTTCTCCTTGTCAAGTACAACCGTGGAATCTAAACCACGCCAGTGGACTCAATGACAGACCTTATGATACAGCGCGCATATGCTACCCATTCGGCTACCCAACCCCCTATAAGAGAGTATAAGATTACATTTATTTAAAGAAAGAAATTAAAAAAAATAAACAAATGCAATTGTATAAATTTCCTCGTACACAACAATAACATACACCACTAGTATTAATGAAAAATGTATATAATAATAATAATAACATCATTTTTTAAAGTGTATTAAGGTTCTTATATTCACAGAATACATGTATTTACACAGAGATCAGGTCTTGTGCCCATATACACTGTACAAAATTGAAAGATATATACCAACCAGTAAATAAAAGTACATATAAGAGAAAAACAAACAGTAATTACCTAAGTAAAATGGTTCTAGTAAAATGAATTAGAAATGAAATGGTCTAATGAAGATGGGCATATACGCCATACAGTGTGCTATAAGGCAAATTTTGCCTGGGCACAGCACTATGGCCTACGTTTATATCAAATTACAACTGCCAAAGGATCTTTTTACGTGCACACCAATGTATACACAGGACCTCGACTAGACTGCTGTCCTCGTGCCTTGTCAGCCCCTCCGCCTGCACCACAGACAAGGGAAAACCGTTGGAAATGAATTAGAATAAAAAAAAGTAAAATAAAAACATATAGTAAGCATAAAGTGACAAAATATAATATGAAAATTTATTGACATGTACAGTACATTTAAGTAAAACATATTTAAAATATGTAATATTTAAAAACCGCTTACAAAAATACATGTATACAGGTGTAGGCCTACTCACATAATTTCATCAATATCATCATCACTATTAAAATCAATGTCACTGTCAGCATATGTTTGGCTGTCACTTTTATATTCGAACAATATACACAAAACCATACAAGAAAGTTTTCACTTGTAAGAAGTACATGTACATCTATTACTGATCTATCTGCAAAAGTGTAATGCAGCTTGATTTACATTCACATTGAAAATTTTGTTTGGTGCTTGATCTCTAGTCACCCTAACCCTGTCATTTGTTCAATAGAGTTTAACAAGAGGGGTTTAAATTTCCACAGCTACAATCAGGCAACCAGGGAGGAATGCGCCAGAATATGCCCCCTTTTTAACTGATGATGCAAGGGCAGAAATAATTCTTCATACATATTTTTTTCAAAAAAAGTAAGTGCACTTGTACCAACTCATCTATTTCGGTTCTAATTTTCTCCATAACATGGGGGTTGGATGGCCGAATTGTTAGCACGTGCGCACTGTATCATAAAGCCTGTCATTGAGTCAACAGGTGTGGTTTCGAATCCCCTGTTGTACGTGACCAGGAGTAGGGTTGTCTGTCCAACCTCGTGGGTTTTCTCTGGGTCCTCCCGTTTCCTCCCACTGTTAAAGATCCCTATGAGCAAGTGAATTATTGAAATAAAAAAATTAAACCATATGTTAGTCCCAAAATGACCTAGTTTGTGTCGAGTGGACGTTAAACCCCATTTCTCTCTCTCCATAACAAATTGGGTATGACTACTGCACATTGTATTTCACCTCAATAATGGTGACAGTCTTAACCATAGTGGTCTTTCTGTCTTTGACTGAGTGGACTTCTCTATTGGTCTGAGTGGTCTTGGGCGGAGTAGTCCTTGGTCTGGGTTGTCATGCATTTAGGAGAATATCTTCATCAGCTTGCATTTGCAAGAAAATGGGGAAAATGTTAAGATATGATCCGATCCCCTTAAACAAATTAACCAGACCTATTATTTTATTCTCTTTCTCTTTTTTTTTTTGCTGCTTGTTTCTAAACATCACTTTCTTCAACAATTTAGGAATCGTGATAAGTAGTAGTTATTAGCACCCTTTCCGAGGTGTATCGGTGAATATCAGGACAGTTTTGGTCGAGGGGCCCAGCCGGGGCGAAGCCGAGGATGCCCCCGACCAAAACTGTCCTGATATTCACCGATACACCGAGGAAAGGTGCTAATAAGTTACTTACATCACATTTCTATCGAGTATTGTGAACCAACATGTGAAAAATAGTATTTATCATCGAGTCGTTTCAACCGAAAAGTGACAAATACTTTCTGCTCTTTCATTATTTATCCCTTTCTGAGCCTCACGTTACATTTCATGGTAGAATGATTTCGCTGTGGAGAGACGACCTGAGTAGTATTTACACGTGTGTCTTGCTATGATACTCTGAGCGTAAAACAATCACGTGTTTGTTTAGACCACACCGTCAAAACATCTTATCTATGGCGTAGAGGACTGCGATATTATTAAATGTAGTGTAAAGGAAATGCGAAACGTGTGTCATTCCTGGTGAAAGTATGCATCGGCGGATGGTTCTTCCGTTGAAATTTATTTGTAATAAAGTTTATGACTTTCTAGGCGGTTTTTTCATCCTGCTTATTATCAATGCCTGTGAAGTGTCCAGCAAGAGAACTGCGCCTTCTATCATCACAATTAATTAAAATAATTATTCAATATTCTAATATATATATTTTGCATATTAATATAAATCAAACCAAATTATAAAATAGATGCCAATTGATATGTATAATAATTGATTTTTGTAATATGTTGTTATGTTAATTTAATGTCATTGTATATGTTTTTGAACTGCCATGTAGTTCCCCCCATTTTGTTTTGTTACTATGATTTTGACTAGTTGTTTCATGTACATTGGTTAGAGCCATCGTCTTCATTTGCGATCTGGATCGGACTAAACGTCCGCTACTGATTGCTTGATAGGTATCTAAAACGGTTTAAAAGTATCCGTGTATCAGAAATGAACAGTACTCTTTCTGTACATTACTGATACACGGATACTTTTAAGCATGTATTGCGATTAAACAGGACAGTTTTATCAAAGGTTACCAGTGGCAACAAGTAGAAGTGGGATGTAATGTTTCATACACAGTTTTGTTAACGTTGTTAACGTGGAATGTGAGAAGTAGTAAGTAGCCTCTACCACCATACCCCAGTGAGAGTTTTGTCTTCACATTCCTGCCTGGAGTTCTGATTCAGTTTTGTCCAGCAAATCGGCATTTGTCTCCGGCACATTTCCATCTAATTTGATCCACTGGATAGCACATACCTTAAATTTTTCCCAGCTTGTCGCAGTGAACGGTTTTAGCTCAGAGTTTTAACAAAATGTACACGAAGTATGCAGTTTTACTTGAGCTATCCTTCCGCCATGTACCGTTAATAACAAAATGTAAACAAATAGCAGGTGACCTTTCACCACATGACCTGTTAAACTTTTCGTCGTGTATGTTTGATTGGCCAATTATGTCACGTGATCTGTTTAAACCAGGTCACCGCGAAATTCAAATACCATTGCACATTGACAAGTAAGCCCATATTTAATTTACGTTTTCTATCAAAGGTCAAAGAATTGATAAAAGAAAAGTTGTGTAACAATACAAAGTAATACTAGAAGAATTAGATGATGTAGTTTTTTTTTAACCCGAAAGTGGTCGGGATGGAGAAACAGACGCAAGCTAGCTAGAAATTTCACACCACGGCCTACAAGTAAAATAGGATGTAATGGATAATTTACACAACAAGTAGGACACTTAAACATCTAGTACTTAGATAGAGATATTATTTATTTTCTGGAGCTTTCAAGCCAGCAAGAATGTTATTGTCCCTTTAACCATTTGAATGGGACTTTCTAATATATGGAAAAGTTGATCACCCAAGTAGCGTTACAGCGGTAGATTCTTTCATCAAAAAGAGTTAAGTTTCAAGTTTTGCTCTGAAAAACGAATTCTTAATTTCCGCAGTCGGGATTCTTCGTTTTTTTATATAAGTACAATTAATGGAGTGAATATTTAACCATATACAACTGGCGGTAGTTTTTACTTTGATGTCATAGCAGTTATATCTCTTAACAACCTGTCATGACATCATAGGTTGATATATTCGTTCATATCAACCGCTGATGACGTCATGACAGGTTGATATTTCGTGACGTCATCTCAGGTCAATATATTCGGCTCATGTCAACCGCTGATGACGTAGATGATCGAAATAATACAAAAAGACACAGAAATAAATTTTTATTCTTTTGACAATTAAAATTTGTTATGGTACAGTTTCTAACATTCAGGACCGAAATAGACGGCATACTTATCGACATACATGTATTTAGATTGGTTATCCATGTCTAAGACATCTTTCAGAATTTTCTTTTCGTCCACATTGCGATTATTTCTCCACACACTACAAGACTTGAAAGTATTTATCGCCCAAGAGTTCTTTTGTAAAGTATTTTTGGGTACAGTCCACTTAAAACAGTCGGTCAAATCCTTCTCTGAACATACCGAAAACCTTCAATCATGGTTCACTGTCAGAATTCTTGGAAAAGAATGCCTTTTGGTCCAGATTTTCTGCAGGCTTTGGATAGATCCTCGTCGATGTTTGCATTCACATCTATTCCATCGTCAATATGTTGGCTAAAAAGGATTGATAATTCGTCTGACTTCGTATTACTATCCATTTTGTTTTTGCTTTCAATTCAATAGTCCAAAATGGCGACGTATAAACAAAAACATGCACGTAATTGCACGTGATTACTTCGGTAATTTTCGCTATTTGGCGGAATCTATCAAGCAATTATCCAATCGTTGTTGCCTTTTAATGGAAGAGCCCATTAAATTTAAGGGTGAAATGGCGTTGTATATGTCGGATATAAACCTACTCTCCCTCAGATTGATATGGTCGAGAACGCTTGGGCTTCGCCCGCGCGTTCTCTACCATATCAACCTCGGGTAGGTTAATATCCTATACGTATACGGCAAAGTATCTACTTCCGCTATTTTACCGTACATCGTTTCTGATTGGCTGGAATATAGTGACGTCATCAAGTGTCAGTTCCTGGACTACATGTATTTGACCGTACATGAGATGAATTTAACCGTATACGGCTATCTCAAAAATCAGTATTAATCCCAAAATTTGAAAATATATTAAGAACACACTATTATAATTATTTTAATTTAATTTCCCATTTTGATTGATTAGAAAAATGGGTTAGGGTTCGGGTTCAAATTTATCTTCTATTTTCAGAACATCTGTACTTTCCACCATTTTGAATAAGGTATGACATCATCATACAAATTAGCCAATCAGAAACGATGTACGGTAAAATAGCGGGAGTAGATACTTTGCCGTATACAGTTAAATATCCACATCCTACAATTAACGATTGAATTTAACATTTGTACGCGTGCGCAACCCTTAGATGTTGTCTGTATTTATCAGTTACCTTGAGCTGATTTTTTTTAACGTTTATATGCAATAGACTATAGTTAAAACTTTCTAATAAGGGGAATTTCGTGGTTTACAAACGCAATATGCAGAGAGTGCTTGTCGTACTCATATTGTAGATGTTAAATATCCTTTATGATAATCCTATTTTGTTTCAAATAATTATCATGCACATCAAAAACAGAGCACACGAAAGCATTTTCAAATAGGTTCGGCAGCAGTGGTCCAAATGTCTATCATTGCATCCAGAATTCCGTATAAGAATCTACTTAGAAGTTAAAAATGCGACTCCTACACATTGCGCTCCAAACTGTGTTATAAATTATAGAATAAACCGTAAATCAATTGAACCCATTTCAAGGTGGAACTGCATGCTTTTTGATATGGTTGGGCTATTTGAGGCGCCAGATAATCTAAAAATAGAAGTCGATATCTGACAATGCGTCTCGAAAAATTATTTGATCTGTTATATGACGGAAAAATTCTGTTATTAAAAACAACCGGCATGAAAATGACTGCATAATAAATTGAAAGTTTTACAATAAGGATCTTTTAGTGAAATGTTAGATTAATTCAAGTTTAAATATATCCTTTGTGTTTGAATTACCACTTATGATTGGTTGTGTCGTATTATGTATCAATCTGGGAATTTCTGTTTACTAGCTATTGTTCTTGAAAGTAAGACGCACAATTTACGCATCGTGTCGTGTTTTCATATTTTTAATAATTATGAAACAGTCAATGCACGTCTTTTTAGGTATATTTCAGTTCTAGAAAAATGAGTTGTTGCTGGATTTATAATTGAAACGTTTTGTAACCACCGTCCACCATGTTAGAAATTGCAAATGGAGTTTTTACTCGCGAAAGCATAAGGATACATGTACTAAACATGAATAATGGCATAGCCATAATGGCACATCCTCCTATTGAATTTGACACAAAACCGGAGGCCAAATTCGCAGCGCCCTAAAATAATTAGAATCTGAGTCTTGTTACCAGTACCGTAATTTTATTTTAACCATACACGTCTGGTTAATCAAGACTAGGGAAATTATTTCATTCAATTAATTTCCAGTCTCAAATTTTTTCTGCGTATTTAGAGCTAGCAACAATGTAACTTCTAAACTAACTAAAGTGCCAACTAACAACATAGTTTTATGGTTAAATAAAAGTAACTTTCACAGTCTTGCAGTGTCGGTATGTTGCCGCGAGAGTGGATTTAAAAGATAGAAAAAGGCAGAAACTACACGAGTTGACTCTGAACCGAGAACCGTTACAATATATACGTCATTGGTTACAATCATCGAACTTAGAAATTAAATCGCCTAGTTTTAGCCAAAATTTTAATCCAGTTCGTAACTACTTATTTTTAAAAGTCCAACGAGTAAAGAATAATTTTTGACATGGCTTCATTGATAAATAAGTGAATGAATATTGTCTATTTTGTGCGACTGTTTTCTGCCTACAGTGCACGAGCGAGCCCGTGAGAGCACTTTTCTCATATTATTTTGATCTGCATGACAACATGATGTTAAAACAGGTCAGTTTATATAGTACAGATAATTGAGGCTGTGGGCCACTCTACATGTACTATAACAAGCAGGCCACAATTTCTGAATTTCTTTTCTGTAAATAACTGAATTTAGATCTACTATCTAGATTTACTGTGACTTTTAAAACCACGCAGAACATTTTTAGAGAATATTTTGTTTTCGGCTCTTGGAGTAATATGGATAGATCTAAATAAGTTCGCAGAATTATTTTATTGTTCTGTTTTGAAATGAAGTATTTTAGGTTATTTGACAGTGGCCAATTTTGAACATAATATTGTCTTTACTGGTTGTCTAATTCACTCAATATCTTACCCATCTGATGATCTAGAGAGTTAGTTCAGGATTGGCTTATATAATATGTGAATAAATGGTTAAATAGTAATTTAATATTTATCTATGACATTTGAAACCAGAAATACAATCTGCAATAGGCAGATTTATCTCTTACAGTTAGTAAGTTACATAATACGTAATAATGCATCTTTAATGGACCTTAACAGTGGGAAGAATTTTATATAGTTCCTTTACCCAAATCCACCATTATTTCTACTCAGTCCACAATAATATTTATCAATATTTAATAATATACCATTCTTCATACCAAATTGTCATTTTGGAAATTGGATTTTGGAAATTGCATTTTGATGGGCCTTTTGACACAAAAAACGTTACTATTTTAAATTAAAAATAACAATTTGGTATAAAGAACGATCATCAAATACCAATATTAATTATTGTGAAATGAGTTGAAATAATGTAGGATTGGGTAAATTGTGCTACATGACTGGACTCTAAAGTGTATGGACATATTGTGGTATCTGATTTAGCCATTCTATTTAGTAAAATGGCATAAGCTTGATCTATTCTTATGTTTTAACGTAATGTGTGATAAATGGGAATCATGAAGCTTTACATCTGATATTTATGATACTGGTTTTTTTTGAGGAATGTAGGTAGAAGATGAAGGTAATAACTCCAGAGATATCATGGCATGAAAGAGAACCTATCTACAGTGTTGATTTTCAACCTGGTAATCATAAAATGTGCAGATTAGCAAGTGGTGGAGTTGATAAGACAGTCAGAGTAAGTACAGTGTTCATGTTATGTACAATTGTTAATCTTATTTAGAGGTCCACAAATAGACAGGTGACGAAAAGTTAGTTTAAAGTAGATAAGTCTCTAACTCAATATCATCCAAAGTCTTCGACATTGAAAATATGAATTATTTGTCAATTTAAATCAACATTGATGTTGTGATATAGCGGAAAAAGATCGGCTTCTGATATCCAATATTTAAGACAAAATAAGCATTTTCTTATTGGTACACGAATCATGTACCATAATGTGTTTCAGTCCCATTTGTAAATAGGGACTCAAAGAATGAGACTAGACATATTCCACAAGTCATGTCAAACCGTGACGCCATTCTTATCTGGAGAGCACGCGCAATGAATACTATGTAGACTGGATTAACCAGACGCTAGGAATTGCCATACGATTGAGACTTCTGGTTCTGATTAGAAATAACAGTAAAAACGGAAATGATTGAATGTAAATCAGTTTATATACAGTCATATTACATGCGTTGCGACCCATTTGTGTCAATTTCTAGATCCCAAACATTAGCGATTTAGCTCCTTTAAATGTTCATTTATTCGTTGTTGTTAATTAAGCTTTCATATTACATATGAAAGCTTATTGTTTCTGTTAAGATTATTATTGTTATTTTTTTTTTGTGTTTTGTCCACAAATCGGATTTCTCAGAATCTAACCATAGGATCGTTCTGAAACTTTTACCTATCCCCCCAAAAATGGGTGGTGGCTGTTGATTAAATATATTTTCAAAACGTTTTACGAATCCGAAATCACCGAATTTTACGAAGGAATGCATTTGACCTACAATGCTGTAACTTTGTGACTATTTGACCTATTTTACTATTTCTTTTTTCTTTGAGTATCTTGAAACATTTACTTCAAATCTGCAATTTCGGATTTTGGCATTTCGAAAATTCGTCGCTGTCATTTCGAACCGGAAGTTATTACCAATTTGACAACTTCTTTAATAGTTGTGCGATTTTCGTGAAATTTAGAATGTTAGTAGATCTTGCCAATGCGACTTCAATGATGTCCTTGGAAATTTTCTAAATTATCTCCCCTTGGTGAAATTAAGGATCAAAGTTTTCAAAAAAATCGTCAAAATATAGGTCAGAATGACCTAAAAAAAAAATTCGATACTAGACAAGTAATTACTGATTCGTACACAAAATATGGAGTTTGTCGATCGAACCGGAAGTGCCACCATCTTTAAACGTGAAAAATCAAAAAGGCTTTTTTGCTATTTTACTTACAGACTCGGGCGTCATATTTTCGGAATCCTGGAAGGAATGCCTAAAAATCTATCGGATCAGAATTTTGATTTCGGTCACGTGATGGTCACCATTTTGAATTGAAAATGAAAAATAGAAGCAATTTGAAGGGCCGGGACTTTGGAACACAAGAACTCTCCTTCTAATTAAGCTAGAATGTTCAAACTTGGTGTAGGCGTTCACTGCAAAAGAATGTACAAGTTCATTGCCTCATTGTCAAAGATCCCACTTTTCTACCCCAGTTCGGGTAATGAGGTCGAGCGTATATTGTATAGGGGATATTAAACAAGCAAACAGTATGGCTGATGTCTCCCGCCAAAACCCCAAAGTAAAAGATGACACATTAATTAATCGCACTTTCATATTTTTTTCATAAGTATCGAGCAATCAAACTATACTGTAAATTTCATCACTCTCTGTCAGATAGAAATCAAGGTTATCTTGTCCCAAAGCATCGACCAATGAAATTGCCAAGCTGTAGCTCAAAATGTTCAGTCAAGACCTGATGAACATCTACACCAAGTTTAAACATTCTAGCTCAATTAAAAGCTGGGTTGTTATGTTCCAGTACTTCATTATAACCAAAGTTATCATACCCCAAAGCATCAACCAATTCAAAGTCCCGGCCAATCAAGTTGCTTTGCTTATCCTGACTAAGAGAATGCTCATTGTCGAACTTGGTCAAGGTAATATGGTCAAGGTACTAATGTAATGAAACTATACACAAAGTTTCATCAAATTGCTTATCTCTGCTTACCCATTTTAATAGTCCCCTGCCAATCGAAAAGCCCCCCGACCCACCCACTCCACTCCCGTGTAATACATTAGGTTATAATTGTGTTACAAACGTATCACAAGGAGCATTTGAATATTCTCTCTGAGGCATCTGATACCACTTGTTCCTATTATTATTTTTTTTTTTTTGTGTCATTTCTACAAATCGGATTTCTCAGAATCTAACCATAGGATCAATCTGAAACTTTGACCTACCCCCCCCCAAAAATGGGGTGCGAATATATTTTCAAATCGTTTTTCGAATCCGAAATCACCAAATTTTACGAACAAATTCATTTGACCTACATTACTGTAACTTTGTAACTATTTGACCTATTTTACTAATTCTTTTTTTGAGGGGTGCCTTGAAACATTTACTTAAAATCTGCAATTTTGAATTTTCGAATTTCGAAAATTCGTCGCTGTGATTTTGAACCGGAAGTTGAGATCAATTTGAAAACTTTTTTAATAGTTGCACGATTTTCATGAAATTTAGAATGTAAGTAGATCTTATCAATGCGACTTCAAAAATATCATTAGAAATTTTCTAAATTATCTCCCCTTGATGAAATTAAGGATCAAAGTTTTCAAAAAAATCGACGAATTATAGGTCAGATTGCCTTGATTTTTTTTTCTTTACTAGCTACGACACTACTGATTCGTACACAAAAAATTGAGTTTGTAGCTCAAACCGGAAATGCCACCATCTTGAAATGTGAAAATTACATAAGGCTTTTTTGATATTTTACTTACAGACAAGGCAATTATATTTTCCGAATCCTTGAAGGAAAGCCGAAAAACGGTAGATAACACAATTTTGATTTCCGGCAAATGATGGACGCCATTTTGAATTGAAAATGACAATTAGTGAAAAATCCACATTTATGGGCTTGAAAACATATACAATTGGTCGTGACCTAGAGAATATGTCTCCAAGATAGCCTGGATCATGGTCGAACGTTTGGTATTTGAATATTTCAAAAATTCGAATTTCTCCTTTGATGTTTTCCGTGCCGACAAGGTTGTTTTCGAGTTTAGCTGGATTTGACTTCGCGCATGCGCTACGCTAGAACCAAAGGTACCATGAGTACTAAATTCCGGCGAGCAACTTTTCACGTTGGTACCTAGGTACCCTGAAAATTTCAAGGTGATACCTGCATTCGTTCAAGTCGTTTGTTCTTGTCACCTGCCTTTTGTCGTTTTTTTTCTAAGTCAATTTACGGCTTCCATGAGGGGAAAAAAGTGGAATTTCGCCGTGACACCGGCACCGATTGTCCGAAAACCATGAAATTTGGACACAATACGCCCATTACCACCCCGGACTCTGTGCCGTACCCCCATTTCGATCCCATTAAAAAAAAAAGAGTTTTAGCAAAAAAACGATTTTCGGAATTTAATATTGGTTTTAACCCTGTACCCAGACAAGATATACATATTATTATAATCCCTATGAAATATTTTAATTATTTACTGCTATAATATGAATTATCACTAATTCCCCGTTAAATAAATATCGGTCACCGGGTGCAGCTGTACAACTTCAAGGACCCTGGCTTCAAGTCAATTTACGGCTTTCATGAGGGGAAAAAAGTGGAATTTCGCCGTGACACCGGCACCGATTGTCCGAAAACCATGAAATTTAGACACAATTCGCCCATTACCACCCCGGACTCTGTGCCTTACTCCCATTTTGATCCGATTAAAAAAAAAGAGTTTTAGCAAAAAACCGATTTTCGGAATTTAATATTGGTTTTAATTAATTTTGAAATTGCAAATGCAAAGAGATTTTATCGCCTCTTCCTTATGTGATAGGTATTGGTACTATTCACATTATCCTTAAAAGACAATTTTTTAAAATGACCGTAACGATGTATCAACACTAGAAACCGAAATCGCCTATTTTGACCTTTTTTGACTGCTGAGGCATCCTTCCGGTGGTCCAAATCTCTGGAATTTCTAGCGGTTGGCTGCGCCGCGATGATATTTATCACATATTAAATTGAGAAAATCCTCAGATATCAAGAACAATAAAAATTCGATAAAATACGGCAATTTTTTAAGCAAAAAACCTTTGATTGTTGGGGGTGGGTTTTGAATTTATTTTGAACGTTCTCGGAATCCAACACTCTTCTATTTTTAATATGTGATAGCTAGAATCCCATCGGAATCCAACACTCTTCTATTTTTAATATGTGATAGCTAGAATCCCAAGGTACATTCTGTGCAAATTTGAAGGCAATCGGAGCACAGGAACGTTGCCTGGGTAGAGCAAAACAACCCGGTCGCGAAAATTTACCTATACTTCAAAGTGATTATCATGTTGTGTTATGATCGCCATTTTAGATCAATCTGAGTCCCTGATCCACCGTCATCTACCAAACCACTCCGAAATATAGCCAAAATCCCAAAATCGACCGTAATTTCTTTTTGCTTCGCGCATGTGCCACGCTGGAACCAAAGGTACGTTGACTACCAAATTCCGGCGAGGAACTTTTCACGTTGGTACCTAGGTGCACTGAAAACTTCAAGGCGATACCTGCATTCGTTCAGATCGTTTGTTCTTGACACGGTTCCTGCCGTTCGTTTTTTTCCGCCATTTACGGCTTCTGTAAGGGCGAAAAAAGTGGAATTTCGCCACGAAACCGGCACCGATTGTCCCAAAACCATGAAATTTGGACACAATATGCCAATTACCACTCTGTGACTTACTCCCATTTTGATCAGATTAAAAAAAGGAGTTTCAGCAAAAAATAAACAACCGATTTTCGGAATTTAAATTTGGTTTTAATTAATTTTGAAATTCCAAATGCAAAGGGATCTTATCGCCTCTTCCGTATGTGATTGCTATTAGTACTATACACATTATCCGTAAAAGACATTTTTTTTTAAAATGAGCGCAACACCAAGAACCGAAATCGACTATTTTGTCTTTATCATACATTAAATATTATATGCCATCGGTTAATTTTTATACGCCCACATTGAAATTGAATTTCAGCGATTTCCGATAATTACTGTCAGAGTTATGGCCCTTCATCACTTAAAAAAATTCTTGTGGATGCTCTAGAGGCCAAAGTTAATGTCCGATTGACTTTAAATTTATACACAGTGGTTAAGGTCATGAGACGAAGTAGGCGATTGATTTTCAGCGATATCTGATATTTACTGCCAGAGTTGTGGCCCCTGATCACTTTAAAATATCTTGTGGACGCTCTAGAGGCCAAAGTTAATATCCGATTGACTTTAAATTTATGCGCAGTGTTGTGGCCCCTGATCACTTCAAAATATCTTGTGGACGCTCTAGAGGCCAAAGTTAATATCCGATTGACTCTAAATTTATGGTCATGACACGAAGATGCCTACAGTATTGATTTTCAGCGATATCTGATATTTACTGCCATTTCCGATAATTACCGTGAGAGTTATTGCCCTTGATCACTTTAAAAAATCTTGTGGACGCTCTAGAAGCTAAATTCAATATCCGATTGACCTTAAATTTATACAGTGTTTAAGGTCATGAGATGAAGAAGCCAATTGATTTTCAGCGATTTCCGATTGAATCTTTTGAAAATCACACCTAACTCTAAAACTAAAGGCAAGAAACGGGTCGGTTTACATTGAAGCACAACTAATTCCTGTCCTGCGTACTCTATAAATATAATATACGGTTTTCTAAATATGCCTTGGATGGTAGCCACAAGTCGACAATTTTTGTTTTGTATTTTTCCCATTTTGTTCATAAGGTAAATGTAATTTTTCAGATACCTGATGACATTTATACTTATTGTTTCAATAGATTCTAATAACCCCTTTGCAGTTAATATGAAAGCTTTCATATCTGCTATGCAGATCTAGTTATTTTCCAATCTATACTAAATAGTGGAAGGAATTCTTAATACAGACTCTGGCTGAAACAATATATCAATCCAGTCTCAGTCTCAGATATATTTACAGACTGAAACATTATATACATGCAATCTCAGATATATTTACAGATTGAAACATTATATCAGGGACCGTACAATATAAATACATCTATATTTTCATAAAATTTCTGTCATTTCTCTTCTCATAAAGTTATAATGAGTAGTAGAAGACGACAACAACTCTTGTAAAGTAGGTCTAAAGTTGTAGCTGGAGGCTAGTAATCTAAACTGGGATCTCAGCGATACACAAGGGGTTCAGGAAAAAGATGAAATGAGTAGAAAGGCAACCCCCATAAAAAAATATAAAATTTCACTATTACTCAAAAAATGAGACGAAAATTTTTTTCAAAATATAAAATTAACCATAAATCGCTACTCCCAGTAATAAATTTCTGTACTAATAATTGAGTAATAAATCTGGATGTGAATAAGAAAACTTTCCAGGTATTTCATGACCCCAAGATTGCTACTCTCTTTCATTTGCTATTTGACAGTGTTCAGTCAATGTTATGATGGTATATGAAATGAAATTAAATGCAATTTGGGTTTAATGTCTTACTGTTCTGCTCCAAGTGAGCTAATGAAGAAAGGTATACGCCATACAGTGTGCTATGAGGGAAATTTTGCCCTGACAGCGGTGATAGGGCCTTCTCTTATATCAAATTCCAACTGCCAAGGGATCCTTTACGTACACACTAATGTGTACTGGGGACCCCATTTTTTGTACCATCTGAACGACTAGACAGCTGTCCTTTTCAGGTCCTGCACCACTGACAAGGGTCAAACCTTGTGGGTTTTCTCCAGGTCCTCCAGTTTCCTCCCACTGCTAAAGACCCCTACGCGCAAGGGAATTATTGAAATAAAATTAAACCATATGTTAGTCCCAAAATGACCTAGTTTGTGTCGAGTGGACGTTAAACCCCATTTCTCTCTCTCCACTGACAAGGGGAAACCACACTGGAAAACCTTTATGAAATTTCACGGCCAACACCCGGAGTGAACCCACAACCTCCAGGCTAGCTAGCCAGCATCTTACCCACTTAGCCGCTGTGGCTCCCCATGGGTATACATGTATGAACATAGGAGAAGATGACTGCATCCATTAATACCACCACTGCTACTGGTGGGACGTTCTTATCTGCATAACACTGGCTGAACACTACTTCATGGACCAGAGATAAGTTATTTATTGTTAGTGCAGTTAGGCCTATATATAAACAAAATTCATATTTGATAATGATAAAAACATAAAAAGTCATGAAATGTGATACAAACATTATAAAAATATCATAAAATTTAATAAAAACATCATAAAATTCCACAAGAAACTTTCATAAAAATATAAATTTATGACAAAAATCTATGTATGGTCCCTGTTATATACATATAATATAACAAATAAAACTGGTTGAAAGTATTTTACATGTAGAAACATTTATCCCAGTCCTGTGCAACTACGTACATGTATGTAACATGTATCTGAAGTTCTGTGATACTTTTTCAAAGAAATACAAACTGCTGTTTGCAAAAAGTCCCCAAATTCCACACCAACCATGTCTGTCCTCTTATTAATCATTGCAATGATCATGTCACTTATTCAATGGAACAAACCTCGTGGGTTTTCTCCGGGTCCTCCGATTTCCTCCCACTGCTAAAGACCCCTACGTGCAAGCAAATTATTGAAATAAAAAATTAAACCATATGTTAGTCCCGAAATGACCTAGTTTGTGTCAAGGGACGTTAAACCCCATTTCTCTCTCTCTCAATGGAACAATGAAATGTGTTAAATGAGTTACTGTAACCCAGTTAAGTAAATCTAGTTACAAATAACTATTAGAACCACTCTATTTTATTTATTTGTAAGTTTCAGACAAGGTAACTGGGCTGTTCATATTTTAGCATATGGTTTGCTTAAGCCCACAATCATTTATAGCCTTTTGAAAACTCTTGGTTGGTCGCTTTTTGTAGAAATTCATGCATCATGTTCATTTAGAAATATCTCAGCCATTGCACACTGAATATATTCAACAATAGTGACAGTTTATCTTAACAGTTCTCCATGTTTCATCTATGATATAAATTGTGGACTTTTTCTTCAGATCTGGAGTTTAACAGTAGGTACAGATGGAAAAGGGCAATTAGAATTTTTATGTAATTTACGAAGACACACTAGAGCTGTAAATTGTTGTCGTTTCTCTCCCAGTGGTAAGACCTAGACGTATAAGCATAAATTAAATTGAAACTATCAGTCTCGATTACTGATATGACCTGTAAACTGTATTGGAAAATGATTTGGCAAAATATTTTTTCAAGTTGTACTACTGTTACAAAATTTCCAGGGTCTTTGACTTTTTACTCTGACATCATGCGAGTGAAAAAGTCAACTCAGAAAGTAGAAGAGTGTAAATCACTGAACACTCTACAAGCCAAGGGTGGGTTAACACAATTTATATGGAATACAATCACTGATTTGTTACACATATAGCACAACACGAGAACAAATGTCGAAATGTTTTGCTTTATGTGGAACAAAACCAGTGATTGTATTCTATATCAGTCGCTAATTGCCATCGAAGTATTATATTCATGACATGTCATTTAAAGTTGCAATTTCATACTTTTAAGTTATATTTTTAAAATTTATTAAAATAAAGCCTTAAAATAGATGGTATCTATAAACAGTCCTACCTTGTTAAAGAATAATCCTATTAATCCTATAATTCACTATTGCCAGTTGAGAAATTGGCAAAAATTTTATTTTTATCGACAAATTCAAACGTTTGAAGTTAGCTACTCCATGGTGTAGAATAGAAAACAAGGGAGGTAATTGTGTTATTATGTTATTTTTACAGGAGATTTATTAGCCACAGCAGGTGATGGTAAGTAAAATCTATTCATTTAAAATAGTTATTGTTACTACTGGTATATTTAGTATTTATCAGTTTATGCCTTATTATAATTAGGCAAGTTGTTATTTATAGTTATGAACTACTACAGTAATTGAAGTTTTTCCCAGATATTTGAAACTTTCTTTTGCTAATTTTGTGAAGAGTCGTATTTCGCCATGGATACGTGCATAATTTGCGGAAATAACCTAAATAATGGTGGGGATGTCGTCAAGCTCTTGTGATTGGCTTGGTATCCAGTCTAGGTTTTCCCCAGATATTTGAAACTTTTTTTTGCTAATTTTGTGAAAAGAGTTGTATTTCGCCATGGATACGTGCATAATTGGCGGCAATAACCTAATTAATAGTGGGGATGTTGTTAAGCCAGTGATTCTCAACCAGTGTGCCGCGGCAGACAGGTATGCCGCGAGATCTTCATAAGTGAGCCGCGAAATTTTGAACGACACACTTAAGAAAATGGGAAAAACCATGTGATCCCAAATGAGTATTCACAGTTCATAGCTGTGGTTTTTTTTTGTCCCCTGCCTTTTGTCCGTCTGTCTGTCTGTCCGTCTGTCTGTCACACTTTTTGGGACACAATAACTCTCCTTCTAATTGACCGAGAACGTTCAAACTTGGTGTAGGTGTTTATTAGGTCAATGCCTTGATGAAGTTCGAAGATGAGCATTTTCTGCTTAGGGTAAGCAGAGATAAGCAATTTGATTGGTTGATGCTTTGGGACACGATAACTTTAGTTCTAATAAGTGAGTGATGAAACTTGGTGTATAGTTTCATTACATCAATACCTTGACTAAGTTCGATAATAAGCATTTTCTGCTCAGGGTAAGCAGAGCGATAAGCAATTTGATTGGCCGAGACTTTGGAACACAATAACTCTCCTTCTAATTGAGCTATAATGTTCAAACTTGGTGTAGGTGTTTATTAGACCAATGCCTTGATGGAGTGTGAAGATGAGCATTTTCTGCTTAGGGTAAGTAGAGATAAGCAATTTGATTGGTTGATGCTTTGGGACACGATAACTTTAGTTCCAATTAAGTGAGAGTGATGAAACTTGGTGTATAGTTTCATTACATCAATACCTTGACTAAGTTCGATATTGAGCATTTTCTGCTCAGGGTAAGGAGAGCGATATACAATTTGATTGGCCGATACTTTTCAACACAATAACTCTCCTTCTAATTGAGGTGGAATGTTCAAGCTTGGTGTAGGTGTTTATGAGGTCAATGCCTTGATAGAATGCGAAGATGAGCATTTTCTGCTTATGGTAAGTAGAGATAAGCAATTTAATTGGTTGATGCTTGGTGTATAGTTACATTACATCAATACCTTGACTAAGTTCGATGATGAGATAAATGAAATGGGGTTTAACGTCCTACTTTTCTGCTCCTATACTGGGCTAATGAAGACGGGCATACACCATACAGTGTGCTATGAGGGAAATTTTGCCCGGGCAGCGGCACTATCGCCTACTCTTATATCGAATTCCAACTGCCAGGGGATCTTTTACGTGCATTCCAATATATACACGGGACCTCAGTTTTCCGTCTCATCCGAAGGACTAGACAGCTGTCCTTGTCAGGCCCTCCGTCCTGCATCACTGACAAGGGGCAACCACGCCGGAAAATCTGGATGAACTTGCTCGGCCAATGCAGGGATCGAACACCCGACCTCCAGGCTAGCGAGCCAGCGTCTTACCCACTTAGCCACGTGGTCCCCTCGATGATGAGAATTGTCTGCTTAGGCTAAGGAGCAATAAGCATTTTGATTGGTCAAGACTTTCGAACATAACAACTCTCCTTCTAATTGAGGTAGAATGTTTAAACTTGATGTAGATGTTCTTCTTGACTGAGTTCAAGATTAACATTTCGAGCTAAAGCTAAGCAGAGATAAGCAATTTCCTTGGTCGATGCTTTTGGACAAGATAACTTTGATTCTATCTGATAGAGAGTGATGAAACTTAGTGTATAGTTGATAATCAGTTTGATTGCTCGATACTTTCGAAAAAAATAGATGTGCGATTAATTAATCAGTTTGATTGCTCGATGCTTTTAATTAAGGTAGAATGTTTAAACTTGATGTAGATGTTCATTAGGTGAATGTCTTGACCGAGTTCAATGATAAACATTTCAAGCTTAAGCTAAGCAGAACTAAGAAATTTCATTGGTCAATGCTTTTGGACAAGATAAATTTGATTCTTACTGATAGAGAGTGATGAAACTTAGTGTATAGTTGATAATCAGTTTGATTGCTTAATACTTTTGAAAAAAATAAATGTGCGATTAATTAATGTGTCATCTATTTATTTGGGGATTTCGGCGGGGGACATCATCCTCACTGTTGGCTTGTTTTATTTAATTTGAGTCATTCTATTTGTCTATGACTAGTCTGTGTCTACTGTTGTATGCCGTCTGTGACTTGCCATGTTTCAATTTGAAAAATTCAAATATTTTTGTCCCCCGCCTTTCGAAGAAAGCAGGGGACTATTAAAATGGGTTCGTCCGTCTGTCTGTCTGTCCGTCTGTCTGTCCGTCACACTTTTTGGGACACAATAACTCTCTTCCTAATTGAGCTAGAATGTTCAAACTTGGTGTATGTGTTTATTAGGTCAATGCCTTGATGGAGTTCGAAGATGAGCATTTTCCGCTTAGGGTAAGCAGAGATAAGCAATTTGATTGGTTGATGCTTTGGGACACGATAACTCTCTTCCTAATTGGGCTAGAATGTTCAAACTTGGTGTATGTGTTGATTAGGTCAATGCCTTGATGGAGTTCGAAGATGAGCATTTTCCGCTTAGGGTAAGCAGAGATAAGCAATTTTTATATCATTACCTTGACTAAGGTCCATGGTGAGAATTTTCTGCTTATTCTAAGGAGCGATAAGCAATTTGATTGTTCAAGACTTTGGAACATAACAACTCTGCTTTTAATTGAGGTAGAATGTTTAAACTTGATGTAGATGTTCATTAGGTGAATGTCTTGACTGGGTTCAATGATGAACATTTCGAGCTGAAGCTAAATAGAACTGATCAATTTCGTTGGTTGATGATTTTGGACAATATAATCTTGATTCTATCTGATAGAGAGTGATGAAACTTAGTATATAGTTTGATTGCTTGATACTTTTGAAAAAAATAAATGTGTGATTAATTAATATGTGTCATCTGTTTATTTTGGGATTTCGGCGGGGGACATCAGCCTCACTGTTGGCTTGTTCATATATATTTAGCCAGGTGTGCTGCTATTTTTATACGCCCACATTTTCATGTGGACGTATATTGTCGTCGCCCCTGTCCGTCCGGACGTCTGTCTGTCCACAATTGTTTGTGGACACTCTACAGGTCACAATTCTTATCCGAATTTGACGAAACTTGAAATATAGGTTTATCTTTAAAAGATCTCGGCTGCTTTCGATATTGGCATGTATCTGATCGAAACTTCATGGATGATGGCCCCTGTTTGTACGAAAAATCACATTTTTAGCTTGTGGACCCTATAGAGGTCACAATTTTTATCCGATTTTGTTGACACTTGAAATGTAAGTTTATAACCCAAAGATCACGGTTCCTTTTGATATTCGCGCATATCGGACTGTAACTTCCTGAATTATGGCCCCTGATTGTACGAAAAATCGCGTTTTTAGCTTGTGGACCCTAAAGAGGTCAAAATTTTTATCCGATTTTAAAAAACGTATTATATCACCGTTACACCCTAAGGACGACCGAGTTTGAATTTCGTGAAAATCGGCCCAAAATTGACAGACAAAATGGCCGCCGTTCATTCTCAAATTTTTATGCGCCTACATTTTCATGTGGACGTATATTGTCGCATATCGGACCGTAACTTCCTGAATTATGGCCCCTGATTGTACGAAAATTAACGTTTTTAGCTTGTGGACCCTATAGAGGTCATAATTTTTATTCGATTTAAAAAAACGTATTATTATATCACCGTTACACCCTAAGGATGGCGGAGTTCGAATTTCGTGAAAATAGGCCCAAAATTGACAGACAAAATGGCCGCCGTTTGTTCTCGAATAGTGTAAAAATATGGTATATCAAGGTTGTGGACCCTATAGAGGTCACAATTTTTATCTGATTTTGTTGAAACATGAAATGTAAGTTTATAACCCAAAGATCTCGGTTCCTTTCGATATTCGTAACTTCCTGAATTATGGCCCCTGATTGTACGAAAAATCGTGTTTTTAGCTTGTGGACCCTATAGAGGTCAAAATTTTTATCCAATTTAAAAAAACGTATTATTATATCACCGTTAAACCCTAAGGACGGCCGAGTTCGAATTTCGTGAAAATCGAACCAAAATTGACAGACAAAATGGCCGCCGTTCGTTCTGAAATAGCGTAAAAATATGGTATATCAAGGTTGTGGACCCTATAGAGGTCACAATTTTAATCCGATTTTGTTGAAACTTGAAATATAAGTTTATAACCCAAAGATCTCGGTTCCATTTGATATTCGCGCATATCGGACCGTAATTTCCTGAATTATGGCCCCTGATTGTACGAAAAATCCCATTTTTAGCTTGTGGACCCTACAGAGGTCATAATTTTTATCCGATTTAAAAAAAAATATTATTATATCACCGTTATACCCTAAGGACGGCTGAGTTCGAATTTCGTGAAAATCGACCTTAAACTGACAGACAAAATGGCCGCCCTTCATTCTCAAATAGTGTAAAAATATGGTATTTCAAGGTTGTGGACCCTAAAGAGGTCACAATTGTAGGTCAAAATTTTTATCCAATTTAAAAAAACGTATTATTATATCACCGTTAAACCCTAAGGACGGCCGAGTTCGAATTTCGTGAAAATCGAACCAAAATTGACAGACAAAATGGCCGCCGTTCGTTCTGAAATAGCGTAAAAATATGGTATATCAAGGTTGTGGACCCTATAGAGGTCACAATTTTAATCCGATTTTGTTGAAACTTGAAATGTAAGTTTAAAACCCAAAGATC